TCCTCGGTGGGGTTTGTGTGTGTGTGCACCCGCGTTTCCACCTGCCACCGTTTGCATTTTGCTTTGCTTCGAAGTGCCTGCACTGTCTGCAAGGAAGGAAATAAATGGTGTAAAGGAATTTACAACCCCAGCGAGCGAGAATGCTGGTCCGTCAGGTTTCATCTGCTGCCGGGAGGTGTAGGGATGCAGGGGGGGGCTGCTATGGGTTCATCCCTGGTACCCCCCTGTCCCCAGCCCCAGCTTTGCTCACAGCCCCTCTCCTGGTGACCCAGCTTGGTGGTGTGGTGGTGGATGGGGTCCCGTGCATTGGGCTGTGCGAGATGCCAGTGTTCACCCTTGCAAGGAGGGGTGCACGGCAAAACAACTTCACAGGGCTGGCCCAGTGGTGTGGGGGCCCCCAGACTGGCTCCTCTGCTCCAGGTGTGCTTGGGACGGGGCTGGTGTGAGCCCTGAATGCTGCCGTGGGGTTAATGAGGGAGGAGAGCAGGCAGGTTTTGCAGGGAGATGTCTCCTCCCCTCCTCCTGTGCCAGCTCCCTGACAAATCCCTGCAGAGCATCACAAGGAGTCAAGGGATGACTGGGGCAAGAGGGACTGAGTGACCCAGGGTCCCTGTGAAGGACTTGGGCTCCCTCCTGGAGATAGCCTCATCCTCTCTTTCTCCTGTCCTGGTTGTGTTCCCCGGTACAAAAATGCTCTGGATGGGGAAGGAGGTTGGATCCAGACCTTACAGTCCTGGAGGCCTTGGCTGTGCCCAAGGCCAGTGAGCCAAAAAGGTTTCTAAGACTCTGCTTGGAGCAGGAGAAAGTTTTTCCGTTGGGTTTTTATAGCTCCCGGAAAATGAGGTTTTATTTTTGTTGTCTAAGACAAGAAGTCCTCTTAGGATGCAGGGAGGGCAGCTGTGCATGTACCATGCTGGGGATCTGGGCTCGGCTTTGCTTTCCCTCCCTCCCTCCATCCATCCCATGGGGTCTGTGGATGCTGATGCTGGTTTCCACAGAGAAAAAGAGGAGATTTTGGTGTCCCTGATGAATGATTAGTTTTGTTTGTCTGCCCACGGTGGGTGCTGATGCTGCAGCACCCGTGATGGGCTCTGTGCCACCCCTGGGCTGTCATAGGATGCTCCCACCTGGGGACACTGCTGCAGGGAAGGCTTTTTTTTTCTGGAGAAGGGTTCTATTTCCTACAGATGGGTAAACTGGGAGCCTTGGAGGGCTGATCTGAGTTTCCTGGGGTTGTAGGCTGGGCCATCAACCTCTCCCCAGTCGCCCCTTCTTTGCTTGGTGCAGGCTGCTTTTGAAGGGGTTTTACTGGCAGGGAGCCAGTTTCCATGGTAAAAACCTTAACAGCATCTGCCAAAATCCGTTTCCCCGTTGGCCCAGCCATCTGGAGCCTTTGGCAGGTCAAGGAGGTGGCTGTGGGCTGCTTTGGGTGCTCTTTTGGTCCTGTTGGCAGCTTGGAAGGGTCCCTCCGCCCAGTCATTTATGCCCCAGGTGCAGGTTTGTGCCAGTATGTCGGGAGGACCTCAGTGTCACCGAAGCTGGTGGGGCACAGTCAGGCTGGGGATGGGGGAGACATGGCATCGCTGCTTGAGGAGGAGAGCTGCAGGCACCATGCACTGGGAGCGAGTGGCTGTGCTGTAATCGGATGAGCCAGCGCCACTCCAGATGGACTTGTCAGCTCTCGTCAGTCCTGACACCCTTTTGGGTCCCTCCGTGTCCCCTCAGGCCAGGGGGGCCACTGCCCATCCCACTCCATTGTGTCTGCTTGGAACAAGGGGGCTGGGAGATGACATTGTGTTTGCAAAGCCCATCAGACAAACAAGGTCCCTTCCATGCTGTGGTCCCTCCCTGGCAAACTCCATGTTTTCTTAACTTTAATGGTAAAAACCTGGCACATGTGTCTGTCTGTCTGTCTGTCTGTCTGTAGTGCCTGAGCCGTCCTGCACTGAGGGCAGTGGGGCCAGGCTGCTTTGCCACCCCCTGTCCCCAGGTACCACCCCAGATGGTTTGCAGCTGCAAACGCAAAGCTGGCCAGTCGGTGCCTTGCCTTGCTGTTCCCATGCTGTGACAGGACGACCATCCTTCACTGAGTGTTCAGCTTAAAGTGTCTTACTGGCAGTACTGGGCTGAACTGGGCTGGCAGGAGTCACGCCTGCTGGTCTATGTCCCCATATGTGTGGCACAGGGCTTTGCTGTGGGCTGGCACCGCACACAGATGGGTCTGGGTACTTGTGGGCAGAGCATCTTGGTGTGTAGGATCCTGGTGTCCACCAGGAGAGGTTTTAGGGCTGAGCTCTGCACTCATCTGCTCTTCTCTCCTTAAACCCTAACTCCTTTCTCCTTCTCCTTGCAGCCAACGACCCTCCCACAAGGCACCATCAACATGAACCAGTGCACGGATGTGGTGGATGGGGAGAGCCGGACGGGGCAGAAATTCTCCTTGTGCATCCTGACACCGGAGAAGGAGCATTTCATCCGGGCCGAGAACAAGGAGATCATCAGTGGGTGAGTGCAGGACTGGGGTCAAACCATCATGGGGCAATTTCCTTAGCTGGGAGGAAGAAGAGAGCAGGTAGGACCTTGCCCAAGGCTGGGTGCTGTGGCAGTGCATGCCCAGGCTCATCCCCAGGTGACAATCACAGCCTGCTGCAGGGCCAGTCCTGGGGGCCAGGTGTAGCTGCAGGGTCAGCTCCAAACTTCTCTGCCTTTTTGGCAAGGATGGGGTTTCCTTCCCCTTCCCTGCTCCCCTGCCATGGTGCTCTGTAGCAGAGCAGGGACCTGAGCACCTCCTGAGCCACCAGATTTATGGTGTGAGCGTGAGCACTGACTTCACCTCTGCAGTAGCGGATGATTTAAGTCCTTCCTCCATGCCTCGTGCCTGTGCTTGACTCTGCCAGGCTGGAGCCTGAGGCTTCCCAAAGTGCTGGACACCTCTCAGAACCAGTGCTTAAGGAAGCTCAGCCTCTGCTGGGAGCCTTGGCCAAGCCCTGGAGCTGAGATGCTCATGAATTACTCGTTCCTTGTGAAGGCCAGTGTTTTCAGGTCAGTTTTGTTGTCTGCCATTGGGTAATATCCTGCTCCAGAACACCACTCCCAGCGGTGTTTACTGCCAGGAGCAAGCTGAGCTACACTGGAGCGTTTGTGGGGTGCTCAGAGGATGCATTGGATGCTGAGGTGCTCCTGGGCTGGCCGTGGCAGCTTCAGCCCCAGCAGAAAGCAGCTATTTACTGGCCAGGGGAAGAGGCTTGGCCACAGGGTGAATACCAGGGTGGGGTTGAAGCGGATGGGTACTGGGGTGACCCCATAGTGCTTTTAGGACAGCATCTGACCAGGCACCCAGCCCGCTGGCACAGGTCCTGTCCCCACACCATTGACAGGTCCCATAGTCCCGGGGCTGGTGTGTCTGACCCCAGGCACCATACATCCTCTGGTCCTTGTCCCTGCGCAGACGTGGCCTCCTGGGGCTGCCCGCTCTGCATTTACCCCGTCCCCATTCAGACTCACCTTTGCAGCACCTGCCTCGCCCCACTCACTCCCTGTGAGCAGGCTGGCATGGGGGGGCAGATGCAGCCCACCCCCCTGGTCCCAGTGAGCATCTGACCTTCTGAGGATGATTAAAATACCATCGCTCACAGGAGCGCCTGCCACTGGGACGCAGTTGCTCAGCAACACTGAAGATTAGGCCACTAAAATGAGCAAATAGCAGTAAATTTCCCAATTCCAGGTGTTGGATGGTGACCTAGAAACATCCTTGTCCATAGCTCACATGCTGGCTTGGGTTGAAGCTGGTGGTGGTGAGGGTGCAGAGCCGCAGGAGAGCTGAGCTGCTGGCACGCAGCGACAGATGTGGCGGTGCTGCTGCTCACCTGCGAGTGTTTCCCACGTGGGGTGGCTGGAGCTTGGTGCCTCCCTCCCAAAATTTACTGTCATTTGAAACTAGAGCAGAAAGTTGAAGGGATGAAGCACTCACCTTCCTGAGCTCACCTTCTTTCCCACCCTTCCTGAGGCACAGTGTCTCCTGCTTGCCCAAGCCCTGGCAGCAGCACGGTCAGTGCTTTGTGTTGAGATTGTTTATTTCCATTTTCTTTGGTTGTGACATCTCCCATTTTGGTCAATACTGGTTCAAATAGGTGTTTTTCTACCAAGAGCTTGGGATTTTGATCAGATACATGTTTTCACATGTTGAAACTTCCCTGCTCTACTGGGACACGTGAGTGTGGGTGATCCCTGCTCCATGCACCTCCTCGGGCTGGCAGACCTGTCCTCCAGTGGCACGGCCACCCCCTTGGCCCCAGTTGAAGGAGTTGCAGCAGCTGCAGAGCCAGGGTGTGGAGGCACAGGGGAATCATAGCACAAGGGAGCCAGCTCCTCTCCTCCAGCCAAGGCAGGAGCAATGGTTATGCCCTAAAAGATGGCCAACCCCCATGCCCTGCTCTCCTGTCCCTCTCCCCACACTCTGGTTTGCAGCTCAGCCTTATGTTGCCAGTCCTGCCCACCATACGGGAGGGAGAGGCATTGCAGAGCAAGGTGGGGCTGATTTATTGTTCATTGGCCTGGCGCTGGATTTTGAAGCAGCGCGTTTGCTCCTGACTGCAAACATTAATCATCCTGAAACAGTCCCACTCTGGGTCTGAGCCAGGCGGGTTTCATTTGCAGTTGCAGCATGACAGGAAGATTTCCCCGGCTGGGGGAGAATTTGTTTTACGTTCGTTGCATGCTTCTGGTATTTATTGCTTAACCAGAACCCACTTGATGTGGTCATCTCAAAATGCTTTACAGCAGCAGTGTGTGAAGTGGGGGGAACAGGAGATGGAAACAGGGACATCTGAAGCAGGAATGTTTCCCAGTGGTCCATGGATCCCTGTGGAGTTCAGAGATGTAGGGACAAGTCATCAGGCTGCAGTGGGAGGACACAGGAGGGTCCCCAAAACAAGTGACTTGTGACAGGGATGGAGTTCTCAATGCCAAGTTCATGCTGCTCTTTCCTGGACAAAAGTGCTTTGTGTGCAGTGTGCCAGCGCTGGCATCGCTGAAGGGGAAGGTCCTGCTGGAGGCTCTGTCCCTCTCAGCTGTCTTTCAGGATCCTTGAATCCTTGTCCCATGTCAGTCTTGGCTGTGGCCTTGCTCTTGCAGTGAGTGGGGTTTGAGCCAAAGCACCCTGGGGTCATCCCTCCTCCCCTCTTGTCCTGCCTCATTTTTCTCCCAGGAGCTGGTTGGGGTGATTTCTGGGTACTATTTACCATGTTGACCCTGACCAGGATGGAGAAGCTGAGCTCCTCTGTGTGCCCGGCTCCAGCTCAGGGTTGTGCTCACGACCAGGTTACAAACCCCCTTGAAGGCTTTGGGTTAGGGGTGAAACGTGGATGCTCCATCTCTGGAGCTCACGGACAGCTTGCCCTGGAGGCAGTATGGGGTAGGGTCTCCCCAGGCAGTGTGGTCAGAGCCACCTGTGGAGGGGAACAGCTTTGGGGTCCCCAGCCTGTGGGAATCTGCATTACACCTCATGGTGGAGTCTCTCCCGTCCCTGCCCGCTGCCCTTCAGCACAGACCTCACCTTTTGCTTTCTCTGCTTGCAGGTGGTTGGAGATGCTGATAGTCTATCCGAGGACAAACAAGCAGAATCAGAAGAAGAAGAGGAAGGTAGAGCCCCCAACTCCCCAGGTAACCCCAGTGGAACACAAACTGTCACCCAGTCCCTTGCCTCCCTCTCAGGGCCACGGCATTGCTTTGCTCCCGGTGAAGATCCTCCCAAACCAACCAGACCCACAGGCTGCCAGCCCTCTCATGCTGCCTGTGTGGAGAGCAAGAGCCAGAGCAGCAGGACAGCATGAATTAATTCCTCATCATCACTTCCCAGGGTGACACACTGTTGCTGCTGCTTTCCTGGCTGTTTTGGGGCAACATTTTGCCCCCCGGGCACTGTCTCGTGTCACCAGCGCTGCAGACGCTGTCCCAGGAGTGGCCGCAAAGCCGCGTGGTCCCTGTGGGAGACTGGGGAGAGGTGCTGGCTGTTCAGGGGCCGTTTTGGCAGAAACAGGATGAAATTCCATCGGGCTCCGGTTACCCGCTTTGAGATGACCCCAGAGATAATGGGAATGAAAGGAAAATAGTAAAGGCCAGGGCCAGGCTGGGAGCTCCGGGGGCTGGAGCCGGGCTCTCCAGGGACCCGGCAATGGCTTCGTGCTCACTTTGACTATAAATGGTAAAAAGCGGGGCCGGCCGTGACTCACTCGTTCCTGCCTGGCTCCCACGTGGCCAGAGTGGGGGAGAATCCCACAGATGGGGAACGTGACCCCTCGTCCCTCGCTGGGGCTGAGAACAGCCATGTCCCTGAGGCCGCCTGACCTCTGGGCGTGCGTCCCACCACCGTGGGGGACCGGCTGGGAGGGCTCCTCCGGCCGAGCTGGGCTGTGACACTGGGGGACTGAAAACAGCATCGGGGCTCCCCTGAGCACTGGTTTTGAGATCCCCTTTGGTGAAGTCCCCAGGATGGTCCTGGTGCAAACCCGGCCATGGGTGGGTTTTGTAGAGTGTTTGTTTGAGTCAAGGATCCACCACTCCACTGGATAAAGAAATTCAGGGCAATGAGAAAAAATATTTGGGGGGAAGATAATTCTTTTTTGCACACCAAGTTGGAAGTCTGAGCCACCTCCTGCCAAGGGCTGGGGTCATCACAGCCCCTCGAGTGCCAGCTCCAGTGATGCTTCAGGGAAGATGCCTCCTCCCTCTATGGCCAAGAGCTGATGTGTTACGAGTTGCCCATCCTCAAGCCCCAGGGAGGGGGCTGCCACATTCGGGGCACCCCTGCGAGCTGATGCCACAGGGCAGGGATGCTCACCCCATCCCTGGCGCAACACTAAACCCAAGCTGGGTTCAGAAGGGGGACGGGGCGGAGAGAAGAAGGGGCACAGAGCCAGTAAAACATCATTCTGGGTTACATTTCATCACCATGGCAACTTCTTGGAAACCGTACAGGATCTGAACTCCTGAGCACCAAATAAGGGAAGCGGCTGCGGGAAAGATGCTGGCTCCCCGTGGGTGGACAGGCTCCCAGGTGCTTGGGGATGGGGTGAGCACGGAGTCTGGTGGCACTTTTCCCCCTCTTGGCTTGAGGCAGACCACCCCACTCCAAGCCCCATCCCTCCTTCCATCTTCTCCATTCTATTGCTCCAGAAAAAAACTCAAATTCACTTCTGTAAAACCACCATCCATGTGGGACCTGCTGCCAGACGGATGCTGCGCTGTGTCTCTGGCGCTCAGGAGCAACCTGCAAAGGCAGAAGCATCATCTTTCCTCTGCCTCCCGAATCATTCTGATGCAGGTGACTGGCCCAGGGAAGGAGAGAGGATGCTGAGGAGAGAATCAGCACCAAATCCCCCTCTGTGAAATGGCTTCTCCTGAAGTTGGCTGCTGTTCAGCTTGTTCTCTGTGTGCCGGCAGAGAAAACCTGATTTCTTTCTAAAGACAACCGCCTGCTAATCCAGCAGCAGATCATGTCTGAGAGCTGCTCAGGGAGTAACAGACACCTTTGTGATTTAAAAAAAATAATCAGACAATGGATGTTTCTGCTTTTTCTTACTCCCATGTAGTTTTTCCTTATCTGTGCTACAGCAGAAGTTGGCTGCAGCCAGGAGCTCCTGGAGCATCAGGGCCATTTTCAGCTCCCTCCATCATTTTGCATCTTCCCCCTGCAAAATCACCGGGGTGGGAACAATGCAGGTGAAGGTGGGAATATTGCTCCAGCTGCAGATTTTTGGACAGGGATTGTTAGATATCAAAGAAAAAGGACAGATCTCTCTTGCAGCTTTTGCTGTGCTCTGGCAAAGTGTTGCAGGCAGCAGGAGAGACTGGGCTTGCTGCCTTTGCCTGCCTGCTGTCCCTGGGAAATCACAACAGGATTTGGGGCTGAAGTCTGGGATTTGAGGCACTGCTCTCTGTTGCAGGACAGGTTTGCACAGGGGTGTGGCAGGCTCAGGTAAGCAGAGCGTGCCCAGACATACTTAATGCAACTGCAGGCCAGTTTTGCCAATTTTTGGAGCTGTTGATACCACTGAGTGGCAAAGAGTTAATTTCTCTGCTTGCTTATAGGCTGCTTTTTGGTCCTCATAGCTCTGTCTAATTAAATACATTTCTACAAATAATTATATGGGGGTTGTGTAAGGAATATATAAAAATATATATCCTTAGCTGGTGATTAATTTTGGGTTTTTGGATCAATGAAAGAGAGAGTGGTTGAGGTTGGAAGGGCCCTTGGAGATCGTCTGGTCCAGCCCCCTGCTGAAGCAGCATCCCCTCGAGCAGGATGCCCATGAACTCTGGATCGTTTACCTCCAACACTGCATTCCTTTAGAGTGAAATTTCCAAGGGGATTTTTTTTTTAAATTGAGGTCATTTGCTGCTTGTTGTGGCTGCACATGAAGCCAGGACCTGCTCCCTGGGAGAGATCCCCCAGCTCAGCCCTGCAAATGGCAGTTTGGAGGTGCAGGGATAAAACATGGGAGTGGGGACAGAGAGGATGATCTTTGCAAGCCCATGTCCCCAGCCCGTGGCTGCCTGCTCGGACACTCCTGGATTCCCTGTGCTCTGTGGAAAGGGAACAAGCAGCCAGGAAACTTCCCACAGTCCAAATACTTTGGAGGGAGGGTTAATTGTCTTTGATTTATTGGTCACTTTAAGGAAAATAATCTGTTAATAGAGAAGCTTAATATGACAACAGCAAAACATCTGCTAGTGAACAAAGCCAAACCCTTCCCAAGCTGTGAAAGCTGCTGCCTCTTCTGGGGCGTGCGCCGAACCTGGAGTGGCCAGGCTGCGGCCACCAAAATGGATCTGGTGGACTATCTGATGGACTCCAGAGCCACTCGTTAGCTAGAGAAGCATTTACAATGATGAGTATTGTTTTTAAATAGCATAAAGCTCAATGTGATGTTGTGTTTCCTTTTTATAAGCAGCAGCCTGTTAGGTAACCAAAGCACCCAGGAGGAGTACAGCACCGGTTGAGTTTTATCCTTTTTATCAGTGGCCTGTAGCAAGCCAGCTGTGACAAACACACACCACAGCTGCTGGTGGCAGGGAATTCATTCTGTTCTCCATCCCATGTCCTTTAATTTGATTTCTTTGGGTTTTTGACAATAGTTATAGCACTAAGATAATTCAGTCCAGGCAAATGGGACCCAGGAGAGAAGCCTGGTGTTGGTCTGTATTTATGAAAGGCAACGACTGCCCGTGACCCAGCCTGCAGAAACTACACAGAAGGACTAGGGGACATGCAGAGGGACTAGGGGACATGCAGAGGGACTGAGGACATGCAAAGAGACTGGGGGACATACAAGGGGACTCCGGACATGCAGAGGGAAGTGGGGGATGCTGTATTGTTTATTTGCATCAATTACAGAGGATGCGCTGTCACCCCAAACTGGGTTTTGGCAGGGAGGAGGGGAGCATTTCCAGGTTCCCCATAAGTGAGGACTCGACAGACCCATTTCTCTACGGGGTCTGCAGTGTTGCAGGTGAATTTGGGTGCACAGCCCTGGATGGCTTTTGGGAAGAGCTGCTGTGCTGAAGTGTAAGCAGAGCCACACAGGGAAGAGCTGGGGCTTTGCTCTGCTCAGGGCCGGGCTGCACAAGCACAAGATGAGATTTTCCCAAGGAGTTACGTGTTGGTGGCCACAGTGTCCTGTGTGCCTCACTGGGAGGGGCAGTTCCTATCTGAAAACAAAGCCAGTGAGACCCTCTGCTGACGCAGCACCCAGCTGAAGGTCTCCTTCGTTTGTCGGTTCGCCTTTGCTCTGGATCTTTGGGAGGTGCGGCTGATTTCAGAAGCCCTCCCCAGGGAGGGACAGTGAGGGATGTTTCCTCTCTCACTCTAGAGCAACAATGGTCCATTTAGCCAAGGAAAGTCTTGACCTGTCACCCTGAAGCGCTGCCCTGGGGCAGGGTTTCCACCTGCGAGCTTGTCCCCTTGGGAATGTGACAGTGGCACATGGCTGAGCAGCCCCATCCCTGTCCCCATCCTATCGTGGCATGCATCATGGGCAGCACCCAAGCCATGTGGGACCCACACCTCTGGGGACAGCCCCATGGAGGAACCCTGGGTGCAAAGCTGGGGTAAACCCCTCTAACTCTGCTGTCTCTCCTGTTCTCTTTAGGAGCCCGGTCCTGCTAAGATGGCCGTGACCAGCAGCAACATCCCCAGTGCGGAGAAGGTCCCTGCCACCAAGTCCACGCTTTGGCAGGAGGAAATGAGGGGCAAAGACCAAGCAGATGGAGGCAGCGGCATCAGCCCAGCACAGAGCCCGGTGCAAGGCCAGGCCGGGGCTGCCAGCTCCCTGAAGGATCCTGTGCTGGACAGCAAGGAAGGTGAGGGACGGTGGTGCCAGCACTGACGTGATGCTGCAGTGACCTGGTTCAGGCAGCTGAGCTGGCAAAAAAACACCATACAGGGAAAAGTTTTCTATGGGTTTGATTCCTGGAGCATCCCAGTGAGGAGAGAGAGGCAGTCCCCATCCCTGCTGTGTTGTGCAGGGACCCAAGCGAGACCTTATGGGCTGGAGTTCAGGAAGGAAAAGAATTGCATCACATGCTGGAAAACCACACAGCATGGGGCCCAATCCTGCTCTGGCAGGAGGACAGGGCTGCCTGGCATCGCAGGCGGTGTTGCCCTTGTGTTGGGGGTAAAACAAGGGGGAAAATGCCTTTTCTAGCCCTTCCACATCCCCACCTGGGGCACCCGGAGGGTGTGGGGCCACGCTGCGCTCAGCCTGACTGCTGGGGCTGCCAAGCCCTCAGCACCACTTCCTCCTCCGTCCCCTGCATCAGAGCCCTGTTCACATTTGATCTTGCTGATGAGTCCCTGGAAGGCGCCGGGGCTGCAGCATTGTTTTCCCTGGAACAATAGGGGCTGGGGACTCTTCCTGCTGGGGCTGTGGACGGGTCCCACACTCTGTGGCCATGTCCTTTATCTGCCCACTTGTGTGGGGGATGCTTTCTGCCTGCTCCCTGCTGCCAGGAGTGAGGTGTCCATCACCTTCCACCTGCAGAGCTGCAGTCAATGCTGGGTGGGGAAGCACAGGGATGGAAATGGGTGCAGAGTGGTGACCACAGCCGTCCATTTCTTGGTTTGAAGGTTTAGGTCTTTTGACTGTGCAAACCTGACGCTCAAAGGTTGGATCAGCATCCCCAGTGACCTGCAGACCATCCCACCATCTCCATGGGCATGATGGATGGAAAAGCCAAGGGTGCAAGATGTGGCACAGCATAGGGCTGGGACCCAGGCCATCTCTGCTAGTTTCCTGCTTCCATCCTGGGTAGAATCAGGGTGGTTTTTGTTAAAAGCAGAACTCAGACTTTAAACCAAGCGTGGTGACTTTTCTGTCCCTTAGATGAGAGCTCCATGAATGGAGACCGGATAGACTGTGGTCGGAAGACGCGTGTCGAGAGCGGGTACTTTTCCTTGGAGAAGACCAAGCAAGACTCGAAGCTGGAAGAGCAGCAGCTGCCACCCCCGCCGAGCCCACCCAGCCCCAGCACCCCAAACAACAGGTACAGTTATCCCAAATCACCCTCGCAGGAGCATGCCCGGCCCTTTCCTTCCCCAGGTACCCGATCAGGCGACCGAATGATTCACAGCTTCTCTCTGAACTCCTTGGACTCGAAGAGCAGTTGCCCCATGCACAAGGACTCCAGCAACAAAGATGTAGGAAGGGGAGCTGAAAAATCGGGGCGTCCCCTTTCTTTTAAAGCCAGCCGGCAGTACACCACCCTGGCCGACGTTCCCAAGGCCATTAGGATCAGTAATCGTGAGGCCTTCCAGGTGGAGAGGAAGCGGCTAGAGCGGAGAACCCGGGCCCGTAGCCCTGGGAGAGAAGAAGTGGCCCGCCTCTTTGGCAATGAGAGAAGGTAAGGGATGAGTGGCTCATCTCCTCCTTGCATGCAACAGCAGCAAGGCTGGGTCTCTGCCGCAGCCCCGGATGGAGCAAGCGGTATTTACTGGGTGAAGCCCCTTTGTGTTAGGGTGCTCCTGGGTTTAAGGATGCCCATCCACACCGACCAAGTGGTGGGATGTCCTTAGTAGCATGTCACCCTGCCTGGCTGCTTTGGGGACAGCTGGCTGAGGTGGATGATGTTTGGTGGCTGTATTTGCAAGCAAGCCCACCCTCCCCGTCCCCTCCCCGATGTGGCACACGCTGGCAGCTGGCACCATTAATTAGGTTAGCTCTCTAAATGGTGTTAGAGCTGGGTGCGTTATGCAACTGCCTAATGAGCTGAGAGGTTTCAAAATGTCACGGCATTAATCTGGGAGAGGAGAGGAGAGAGAGGCGGGTGCAGTGCCGAGGCAGGGCACAGCGGGCTGCAAAACAGCTTAGTGTGGAGGAGGATGAGGAGGGTGTCCGCACACACGCCCGCACCGCACCACACACCGGAGGGCTTGGTGCTCTCCGGGCGAGGCAAAGGACGGGCTCGACATGCCCTGGGAGAGACGCATTTGTGCTGTGAGGGCAGCAGAGCAAACCAGGAGATGGGCCCCGGGCGAGAGGGCCGCCTGCCAGTCTGATGTTCTTGCCCTGGTTTTCCTCCGGGCATGTTCTCTCTTGCAGAGTTTCAGCAGGCACTTCTCTGTTTCTTCCCAACCCCTGAAGGACTGTTTTCCAGCCTGGCTTCCTCACGCCAAGAGCTGGAAGCGGGTCTGGAGAGGGCGGCACAGCTTTGTGCTGGTGCCACTGGTTGGCAGGAGGATGCCAAACCCAGCCCGACCTCTGCAGCGTGCACAGCCAGTGCCAAGCTGGGGATAAAGAAGAGCATGGATTTGACTTTCTCTGCTTTGGGAATTGGGTGGGAGGAGAAGGATGCCATGCAGGTCGCCTGGCTGGGGACAGGGCTGAGGAAAGGCTGGTGACAGCTGGTTTGAAGGCTGAACTGGTGCAGCCTGTTGGCCCAGGTGTGGGTGAGATGGTGTCCCTGCTGGGTTTGCTTGCACAGGACACACTGGCCAGCATGAGAGAACAGCACGTTCCTCCGGTGCCGTCAGTCCCTTGCTCCAGCCCTGGGGGTATCGTGCAGCGCTGGGATCCAGCATGGAGCTGGGATGTGCCAGCCGAGGACAGGGAGGAGCAGATTTACAGGCAGATAACAGGGCCCAGGAGAGGATGCTGCTGCCAGAGACTGTCCTTTTTTAATGTCAGCCCCACTCATTGCCTGCTGACGGGTGCCTTTTCCCAGGGCAAGTCTGTTTTTCCCAGCCCAGCTGGGCTCCTGGGCCTGTTAACAGGTTTTTGTTGCTTTATCAGTATTGGCAAAAATTCCCCTGTGTCAGCTCAGGGCTTTTATCAGAGCAGGACGGGTGTAGGGAGAGGAGCGGGCGCTGCACCAGGCACACAGGTCTTGCTGCCCGAGGGGGGCTGAGCCTGGTCCAGTGTTTGGGAAGGGGGGTGATGGCAGGGAGCAGGGCAAGGGGTCCTGACCTGCAGGGGGATTTGGCTGGGGGTCACAGCCCGTGGCACCGGAGCAGCGTGCTGTGCACAGGGATGGCTCAGTGGGCAGTGTTTAGGGGCGGGCACGTTTGCTTTCTGCTCTGGTAACCTGGGAATTGGCCCATGCAGGTGGTGTGGGTGGAGAGACCGTGTGTCCTGGAGCTCAGGAGGACTCCACAGGGCACGGAGAGGCAGTTCCAGCGTCGCACCAGAGAATTAACATTCACCAGCACCCTGCTCAGCTTGGCTTGGCTGCTTTTTAAATTTGAGTTTATTTAGTCCGCATCTCCCTCTCATTTTTCTCCTCCGAGCTCAGGCTGTGCTATTTGAGGTTGAGCAAACCCAATAACTCACTTCCATGCTGTGGGGTCAGCTTTTTCCCCCAGGTTTAAGACCATTTCTAATAATCCTTCTCAGTAACCCACTAACACGTTCTGGAAACGCTTGCCTGAAATCGCTTGCCTACGTGCCAGCCCCATAGGTGCCAACCAGGCATCCTGCCTTTCATCTCTTGGTGCAGCTGGATGAACTTGCTCTGTTTCTGTTGGTATTTTCGGCTCTTTCTCCCATTTTCCATTTACCCACCGTAAATCATTGTGAGGGTCAGAGCTATGGATGGAAAATAATTCTTTTAGGTCCCCAGTGCTGCATCCTGAGTGACACACCTGTAGGCTTAGCTCCAGATAAAGCTGTTTTTCAGGCTTCTTGTCCTGTTGCCTTATAGTAAGAGATATTACATGACTTATATCCTGGAAATTTTCTGCCTTGACCATTTATACCTGACTCTGACTCCACGCCCCATGCAGACATCTGAGCTCACAGACGCTCAGAAACATGAATCAGAAAACAGGAGATAATCTCCATGATTTTGGCACGTGTGGCGGAGCGGCGGAGTGCGAGTTCCCTCTGCTGGCACGTGGCAGGAGGGGGCTGCCAGCACCACGCAGGGGTCCCGACCAGGCTGGGGGAGAGGGTCTGTGTCCAGAGAGGTCAAGCTGTGCCTCTGGTCTCCCATCTCAGACCCATCCCTAGGGTGAAAGAGCAGGGGCAGTTCTTTGGAAACCCCATGGATAAGTCTTGGACTCTGTTTTGCACGGAAAACCACAGCAGAGAGGGCTGCAGGGACAACCTTGGATGCTGGTTCCCGTATCCCAGTGGAGCTCTGCAGCTGCAGGGATAAATCCTGGCACATCTCAGGAAGATGCCAGCAGCTTTGGGAAGGAGACCACCATCGGGTGGAGAGTCCTTGGGGTGCACACCCCTTCCTCTGGGTGTGTGGCTGCAGGCTTACCCGCCTCCTGCAGCTCCCCAGCGAGCACTGGGATTTCTGGGTGGAAAACTTGGCTTTTCCTGCACAATTCCAGGGATACAGCCTCTAAAACCATGGCTTTCCTGGTTGACCCCATGTTCTGCTCACGCTGGCGAGATTCTGCTGTGGCGTGTGCTGGATCTGCTGTAGGAGTGTGGTTAGGGGGCTGAGGAATATTTCTAGCCTCAATAAATAGCAGAGCTGCCTGAAATGGCTTAAAAGGCTTTTCTTTTTCAAATTCCTTCTTTGGACCTTCTTGAGATGTAAGGCTGCTTCCACCCATAGAGAAGAACGCCTGCTCTCCCAAATATAGGTTGTTTTTTTCTTCCTTGTATAACTTTACTCTTCATTTTTATGGACTTTTTGGGGAAATTCCTCTTCCTTTTCCTGACACTCGCTGTCTTTCTTGCTGCTAAATAATGAATGAGTCCAATAAAAAACAACCCCTTTCTTCCAATCAAAGAAAATCACTTCAGTGATAACTCGTGCTGGTCTTTATAGCTTTCCTTCCCACTGCACACACCCCTCCACCTAACAGCCGAGATCTGCAGCTTGGGTTTAGTGGCCTGGAAAAGATTAACATCCTGCATGGCCAAGGAACTCCTTGGGACGAGCTTTGTAGTTGAGAAAGCACTAAATGGCACCGCAGCTTTTAAAACGCTTCTTTGTACCTGTCTGCAGCCTTGTTTTGTCAACACAGAGCTGCTGTTCAGAGGGAGCAGCTCTCCTCAGCGCAGTGGGGTGGAGAGGAGAGCCCTTCCCCTCCCCGTCCTGTCCCCCCAGGATCTCTAGCAGTAACCTCTCTGAAATGTTCAGCTAATGGGAAAAAAAAATAATGATTCTTTCCTGTAATCCGGATGATTTTAACCCTTGGGACTGTGATTTGGTTACAGTGATTTATTTTTCTCCTCCCTTTTCCAATGATGAATTACTGGAATGATTTTGATTTTGTTTTGTATGTAGATACAGATATATAATTTCCTCTTCTGTTCATTCATTTTCCAGCCTTGTTTTCTTCCAGGTCTTGTTGCTCTCCACCTTCTCCTGCTGTGTTGCTGTGTGACGTGTCCGCCTTTACTTCGCCTGCTTCGCTACCATCTCATCTCAATCTCAAGCCGTAGAACAACCTGGTGGTGCAGCCCCTTTCATGAGAAATCAACCTGCTTTTGATTTTGTTTTATTGGGGGGTTTTTTGTTGGGTTGTTTTTGTTGTTGGTTTTTTTTTCCCTCCTGATTTGTTTATCTTCAGGCCTTCACCTAATAGGGCACAGACAGTGTTAATTCATGGACCTCTTATTCCCTCCTAAACTGAGACTCAAGAGAAGGTTGGACCAGTGTAAAAAGGGTTAAAAATTTGTGACTCCAACACAGTTCCCTGTCTGTTGGTGAACAGAGAATGTGGATTTATGCTTCGTAGGCTGACTTATGTGAACAGACATCTCGTGAGCAGAACATCCCAGGGGGACTGGAAGCTCTGTACGAGCCCAGGATCTGCCTGCTCCCAGTCTGCAAACTGGGAGGCAGTGTGGGCTGAACAAATGTCCCATAAAAACATCAGAGATGCTTGAATTTACAAAGCAAAGTCCTCCCCATCGATTTTGTCCCTTCCTCTTTGGTTGTGGGTTTCAACACCCAGTCCTGGCAGCCTGGCTCTGGGCAGCAGTGGGGGAGCCCCCAGCCCATCGGGGGATGTGATGTGCTCAGACTGTTCGTGTCATTTACAGAATTTGTTGCAAATATTGGTTGAAAACTGAACATCTCATGGTTTTTGAGTCCTTAACCTGCTGTTGCTTTTTGTGGGAAGTGTTAAAAATGGGGTTTTTTTGGGTAACCCGTTTCCCCTCATGTGGTTGCCAGTGTGATTTTCATGCACATTAGAGGTTCACGCAGAGCAAACAACCCGAGTTTAGATGCAACACGCATGGGTCCAAATTCTGTGTCAAGAGCCCACCCAGACTGAGCTTTTGGGGGAGGTTCAAAACTGAGCTTTAAACCTCGCAGCTTGGAGCTCAGCTGACGTGTGTGTTGGTGGTGGGTTATTGCTTCATGTTCCTAGGTTGTGATTAGAGACCTGAGGTTGATACTTGCCTGAATCCCCAGGCATGCAGACTTAGACAGCAGCAGGTCCTTTGAAAATTCCAGTATTTCCTCTCCTATGGGTCAGTGAGCAGCTTTTCATGATGAAATGGCACTTTTTAATTCCACCTACAAAGGCTTTGCTCATTCTTAGGAGCATCCCCTTTGGGTTTGGTTGGAGGTTGGCTCCTGCTCCATCCACATTTCTTCATAGTTCTCCTCCATCCTTGGAGACCTGTGCCATGGTGTGATGGTCCACCAAGCCCAGTGTCTGAGAGCCCAAGTCGTGCTCCCTACTGTCCATACTGGATTTGCAGACCAGTTTGAGAGGAGGGCAGAGCCCCAGGGTTTTGCAGGGGTTGCCTTGGTGTGCCTGCACGGGGTGTTCCTCATCTCATGTGTCTTCAGCTGGTGCACTCTGCAAGCCAGACCTGTTGTCTAGAGGCACCTACGGACACTCCTCACTCAGTTCAATCCTGTGGACATTTCCCATGTGGGGCTGAGTTTTTTACAGGGTATCTATTGTGGTGAACACAAAGGGTGACCCGTAGGTACCCATTAGCTCTGCGCTGCAGCTTGGTCTGATGTGTCTGTGCTCTGTGGCCTGGCATCGATGGCTGCAGTGCTCGAGAGTAGAGACAAAGCTTAAGCCAAAGCTGCTCAATAATCCCTGTTTCTCAAAGGGCTGGAAAATGTACAAGTAAAAAGTTATTGCTGGTTTTGCGAGAGTTTTCTAGATATTTAAGAAAATATTATTTGTGGAGCTGAGTAGTGTGAGGTTTTTTCCCCACTTGGGCTGCAGGTAAAATGGTTCATGTCAGATTGGGGCATTTTGCCCTGGTTTTGTGCACACTGGAGCTTGTGGAGAAACAGGGACCAAAAGCCAAGTGTGCATGAACACGGGGCCGAGCAATTCTGCAGCCTTAGATTTGTGGGATTGTACAGCTCAGCGCAGTTGCTGTTCTTGTGTTTAAACTGGCTCTGGTTTCCCCTTTCTCTCTGTTTTCCAGGCGATCCCAAGTAATTGAAAAATTTGAGGCATTAGATATTGAGAACGCGGAGCACATGGAAACGAATGTGTCAGCCAGTGCTGCCCTTTCCAGTGAGACGAGGCAGGGCAGGAGCGAGAAGAGGGTTTTCCCACGGAAACGGGTGAGCTGCTCAGCTGAGGTCTCGTGGTGGGGTTTGGAGGATGGCACTGGGGATCTGACAGCCCAGGATAGAGGGTTTAGCTATAGGGTTTATCTATAGGGTTTGTCCCAGGGTGGAGCAGGGGATCTGGAATCACAGGCAGGCTCGTTCATGAGCCAAACCTCTGTGTGAGCTCAGTCTGTGCAGGTTTGCTGCTTGCTGCTCTGCTCCCTTGGCCCAGCTGCAGATCAGAGTGGAAAATCAGACTCGTCTTTTCTCCTTCCTCCAAAATAGAAAAGAGGGAAACTTCAGATCTGGCATGACAGGACACATCAGGATGGGGCGAAGTAAAAAAAGAAACAGGCATTCTTGAGAGTCCCAGATACACTTAGATATATTGGGAACAAATTAATGCCTGGGAGGACAAAAAAAATGTGTTGCCAATGAAGTGACACTTGTTCTGAGCCTGAGATGCCCCTTAAATACGTGGATTTCTATGCCATGAGCCAAGAGAGTGGGACTGGCTGTCCTAGTTCCTGCACTGATCTGGGCTAACCCTGTTTACACAGGACTTCACTTGTGAAAGTGCAGCTGTGGGCTCCATCCTGGATGTGTCTGCATCTCCTCTGTCCCCACATCGCCGAGCAAAGTCGCTGGACAGAAGGTCCACGGAGTCCTCGATGACGGTGAGCCACTGTGGCCGTGTCCTCTGCCTTGGGGGAGGATGTAAGAGGCCCTTCCCGGACAGATCCAGTGGAAACTGGACTGTCTGCTACTTTCCCTGTACCTAGCACATAGGATACACTTGTATTTGGGGCAGGTTTTAGTGACTTGGCTTCAGGCTTCACACTTGGCCTGTTAAGGAGAGCTAACACATGCCCTGGTTTTCTAATGCTGCTTCCTTGGTGTTTATGCAGTTGGAAGTGGGTGCGAGTGGGATGAAGGCTGCAAGGAAGGGCTGAACCTGCCCTCCTGAGCTTCCCTCCCATTGCATACTTCAAATGCTCACCAGACCTGGAAGCAAACAGTACAGAACAAACACAAAATGCTCTCCTCTCACTCACCAGCCTTCTGGAGGAACAAAATAAATACACTTGCTAATCTCTCAAAAAGATTACACAGCCATTGTAAATACGAGCTGCATTTTTCATGGATGGACAGCTTCTATTGAAGGACTCTCATAAAAATGCAGTAGCTTAGTGTTTCTGTAGTAGCTTTTCACGTGGACTTGTACAGCTGCAAGAGTGATTTTTAAATTCTTGGTAGTAATAAAAAGGTGCAAGAAGTGCACATGAAGTGACAATGCGTATCACCTAGTGAAGGCAAGAAAATAATGCAGTCAGTGGGAAGAAAACCTTTTCCTTGCATTAAATATGCCTTTATTGTGCCACTCCTGCTATAAAAGTAGCAACATAAGAATGCCTGCTGGCTTGTGACTGTGACTGCAAGACTCTCCCCTGCCCATCGGGTTCTCTGTGTCAGTTCAGATCGGTCATCTGTCAGGATAAAAGCTGAGGGAGAGTTCATCCCTTGTCAGGCTTGGTGGGTTACAGCAGAGCTGTGGCTTGCGCTGCGTGGGTATCTCTTCCATCAAGTGCTTCATCTGGTTTTGGTTTCTAATGTTTACACCCTTCAGTGGCAGCTGGTCCCAAACTTTTCATGCTTCAGCAGCTTTGCAGCTTCAGGCAAAGCCTGTGCTCTCCTGCCTGCCTGAGCAGTCAGAGGAAAGCAGAGGGATCTGCCTCCGTAGAGGAGCGGGACCTGCAGGAGAAACCTTCTTCCTCCGGGTGCTTCTCTAGTGTCTCGCTGCAGCCCAGTCTGAAACCTGCATGTACTGTTTGGCAGCCTCTTTCCTCTCTGGCTGCTTCTACACCTTTGCTTAAATTTTAAGGAAACCAAGGAGTGTAGTAGGGCACTATGAATGCTGCTGAGGTGGGATTTATCTACTTTTGTGGAAGATTCTTGCCCAGTGCTTCTTCCCAGTAGATAAATAAACCCATGAACAACTCTGAAGGCTTGCAAACTCCTGTTTTCCTTCTTTGCAAAGAGCATAGTTGGGAGCTGCTTATTTTTGATCCAAAATATAGATGCTGTGTTTGACACTCTCCTGTTGTACAAGAAAGAGCTTAAACAGGACCCAGATCCTGGAAGCACGATCCCACCTGCGCTTCAGCAGAGGAGAAGCAGGCAGGTGGTGGTATCGCTCTCTAAGGGTAAATTAGGGCTGAGATGAGGATGCCCAGCTCTCATAGCCTGATTCAGAGATGGATGTAGTCATTGCAAATGCAGTTTTCTCTACAGTTTGTTTGTGGCTTATCGCTGCCTCGTCAGCAGGTCCTGGTGGGGCTCAGTGGGTTTATTGCCTCCAGCCACATCACAGCCAGGGCAGCTCAAGCTGGCATCTGTCTGCTCCCTCCTCCAATTCTCTAGGGATTCAGGAAGGACAAGGTGGCATTTACTTTCCCCTGTGTTTTTTGTGGAGCAAAAACCCACTGTGGAGCAGGGCTGAGTTCCTCCCACCAGAGGAGCACTCAAATGTGGGATGTGCCACCCCACAGCATAGATTTGATTGCCTAGGCTTCCAGACCCCAGTTTTCCATTGCTCCTCCTGCTAGAGCCCGTTTCAGATGCTACAGCTGCATTTCACACAGTGCTCCCCTTTCCTCCTGCACTCTGTAGCACATGGAGCAGCTGGAGGAGCTCAGCCTCGAGGGAGCAAAAGCATTTCCACCACATCCTTCCCTGTGCACGGGCAGGGCTGGGAGGAAGGGCTGGCGGGAGTTATCCCACGCTGTCTTGGTTGCTTTTCTCAGAGCTTCAATATCCCAATGCAGCCACTTTGGAGGAAAGAGCAGGTGTCATTTGGGTGGTGCACTGCTGGGATTCCCTGTGTTTCCAGCCTTGGGAACTCAGTCTTGTTTTGAACTCTGCAGCCTTGCATCAATAGCACATAGTTTATCTTTCGTAATATAATAGGGAGACAAAACTGCCTGCAGTCTTGCTAATTCCGTGCTTCTCCTTCCTCTGTAATGCTGGTGTCTCAGTAGGAAACTGCAAGAGAAGTGCTAGGAAGTGGACAGCCTGTTGTTGAGCCTGGAGAAAAGGAGGCTGAGGGGGGACCTTCTGGCTCTGTCCAGCTCCCTGAAGGGAGGGTGGAGAGAGGTGGGGGTGGGTCTGTTCAACCAAGGCCCAAGGGACAGGACAAGAGGAAATGGCCTCAAGTTGCACCCAGGGCAGTTGAGATGGGATGTGAGGAAGAATTTCTTTGCTGAAAGGGTTCTCAGGGGTTGCCCAGGGCAGTGGTGGAGTCCCCATCCCTGGAGGGATTGAAGAGTTGTGTAGACATAGTGCTGAGGGACATGGGTTAGTCGGGGACTTGTCAGTGTTGGGTTCATGACTGGACTTGATGATCTTAAAGGTCTTTTCCAATCCAGGTAATTCTGAGCTTCTGTGTTTTATTACCATACAGCAGGTCTCTGTTCCTCCTGAGAGCAAACATTTAGCCACCACACAATATAATGATCCACTTTGGACTAGATGACCTTTAAAGGTCCCTTCCAACCCAAACTGTTCTATGATTCGATGAATTTAACTGTTGCTGCTCTCTTTTCTTGCTGCGCTGTGTTTTATCAAGCTGCTGCTGTTGTCTTCTGTGCGCAGACACTTCTTCCCTCCCCTCTGATTGCCCCTCTCCTTTCTTGCAGACTGAACTGCTGAACTTCAAGAAGGGCTGGTTGACAAAGCAGTATGAGGACGGGCAGGTGAGTCCAGGGGAAGTTCTGCCCTTTGCATCAGTCTCGGTGCTGTGGTCAGTCCCAGTTTCTGGCAGCTGACACCCACTCTGATGTCCTGGCTGTGTGGGCTGTGCATGGGGCTGCTCTCAACACTGGTGAAGCCCCGATGTCTTTGCAGGGTGGATCAGTTTTGGGCCATGCTCCAGGTGGGAGAAATCAGACGTAGGCGCTTGGGCAGAGCAGTGCCAGGGAATTTGTACAACTCTGGAGCCAGGCAGTAGTGGTTGTGTGTGAGCCCTGTGCAAACAGTGTTTGTCTGTGGGTGGGAATAGCTGGTGCTCTGTCCTGGGGAGGTTTCAAAGCCCCACAGCTGGATATTGTGTCTGGGGTTTCTAGGGAGCTGGGGCAGCTTGGATAGCAGCACTGGTTTCGTGTTCCCATTCTCTATTGGTCTCGCCTCCCTTGTGACCCAGCGACCTCCTTGGCGTCAGTAATGAGGCTCAAATAAAGTTTCCTGAGCACAGGGGAAATGGCAAGGCCAAGAAATGAATAAATGCCTCTGAGTTGGCACTGAGGGAAGCAACTGCTGCCACTTTCCTCCTGTCCATTCTCAGAGGGATCTGGGATTTGCTGCTCTGTTGGAGCCTTAGAGACTGAAGCTGAGGTGGAATGGGTGCCCCGACTGTTTGCAAACTGCCCTTTCCCTGGATTTCCTTCCCTCCCACTCAGCCACTCAAGGGAAAATGAGGGCGACTTGCCCACGGCTGTGAGCACTGTGCCCAGGTTCTGCTGTGGGGATCTTATCATCTTAGAGCTACAAAGTTGATTAAGGGTCTGGAGCATCTTTCTCATGAGGAAAGACTGAGACAGCTGGGTCTGTTTGGCCTGGAGACTTAAACATGAGGAAAAACTTCTTTCCTGTGAGGGTGCCAGGGCCCTGGGACAGGCTGTCCAGAGAGGCTGTGGAGTCTCCATCCCTGGAGATGTTCCAAACCCACCTGGATGCAGCCCTGTGCAACCTGCTCGAGGTGACCCTGGTTTGTCAGGGAGGTTGGACTGGATGATCTCCTGAGGTCCCTTCTAACCCCACCATTCTGGGATTCTGTGACCCACTGGTGCATTGAGCCCTGGGGCTGAGGGCACGTCTGTAGGCAGCCAGAGTGGGAATCAGCTGCTGGAGCGAGTGCTTTATTAACTGCAAGCTGCCTTGGGTGAGCCTGTGCCTTGCTGGCAGCATGCAGAAGGCGTATTTGTATAGAGGAAGGGCCAGGAATAGGCTCCAACTCAATTTCTAGGCACTGCAGATAAAACACTAATGTTTTGCTGCTTTTTTTGTTTGTTTGTTTAAAAAAAAAGGCTTTAAGTGCAGCCACTAAAAGCATCATCACGCCAGTGGAGCTCTTGGGAAGGCTCTGACTGCCCTGTGGCTCTCGCAGGGTTTCACTGTCACATGCAGGGTTGGTGCTGCTGAGGGTCTGGTGTTCTGCTGGTGCAACAGCGCTGAGGAAATCAGGGTCCTGGTGGTGCAAACCATCACGGTGTCCCTCGCATTGCTGCCTGTTCGGCTCTTCTCCCCCGGGAGAGCCTCTCCAAGCCAGGAGCAGAGCTGGGAGGGGAGAGGCTGTGAGCTGCCTCCCAGTGGGGTGTCTCTGCTGGGTGACTGGTGATGAGCTGCCCAGGCTCTGCTGATGGGGAAGGAGCAGGGTTGTAACTGCCCCATCTTGGTTGTTTCCTAGTGGAAGAAGCACTGGTTTGTGCTGACTGATCAAAGCCTGAGATACTACCGGGATTCAGTGGCAGAAGAGGTAAGTGTCTTCCCCATTGGGTTCAGCCCATTGCTCTCCACTCAGGGGAGCCCCAGGTGCTCCCAGACTGACCCTGGGCAAGTTGTCTTCCCCAATACCGAGGTCCTGGAGCAACATTCTTCAGGGCTTTGTGCTTCTCGAGGACCTGCTCTGTGCCTCCCTGCGAGGCTGTTGCGCTTTGGGGTTGCAAAGCATTACGACTTAATTTACCTCTTCCTTCTCCAGGCAGCTGACCTGGATGGAGAAATCGATTTATCCACGTGCTACGATGTTACTGAGTACCCGGTTCAGCGAAACTACGGCTTCCAGATCCACGTAAGGAAAAAGTGGGGAGGAGGAAGAGTCTGGCTGTGGGACAGCCGATAAGGCTGCTCATGCTGTGCCGCTGCTTGGGAAACATCTCCCCAAACATCTAAGAGAGGCCACCCAGCATCCCTCACAGTGCTCCAGAGAGCTATGGCCTTGGGTTTGAGAGCCAGTTTTTTGGTTCACAAAAAATGGGGGGGTGGAAAAGGAAAGTTTTGTCTCAGCCTAAAGAGTCTCAGCTACAGCAAAACCAGCCTGATAGCTGAGAAATTATGATTCCCACCGTGAGCGTGCTGGGGGTTGGAGGGGCTGGGTTGGGTGTGACCTCCGTGCAGCCAGCAAACACTGCACCAGTGCTGGGTGCTCAGGGCTGGGTGCAGGGTGATACTGGGGGAGGTGGGAAGGTGCTGGTGGGTGCAATCAGCTGCTGTGAGCCAGTTCTCCTCTCTCCCCAGACGAAGGAAGGAGAGTTCACCCTCTCTGCCATGACATCGGGCATTCGCCGCAACTGGATCCAGACCATCATGAAGCACGTTCGCCCCACCACTGCTCCTGATGTAACAAGGTAAAGAGGGGAGTTGAGCAGCCCTTGCAGTTGTCTGGTTTGCTATGCAGGAGTAAATCTTTCCTTAGCCCCTTTCTTTCCTCTCTGAGCCTGTCCGTTCCTGGAAGCTGCAGCTCTTTCTCACAATCCTCTCTCTGGGCTTAATTTGGATACGCTTTGTGGGGATGCTGATATGCTGAGTTACTCTTGCGCCTGCAGATTTCAAAGAGGGTTGAAAATGTGGCTTTAATTTGTACATAGGAATATGAAATACTGTTCCTATATCAAGGCTCCTCTGGATTCCCACCAGGTATTGTGAAACCACTTGGATTCAGTTGTGCTGGGTTCTCCCTTTCCTCTGGCTACTGTTCAGCACGAGCTGCCCATCCCCTCCACGGGTCACGGCAGCATGAGCCCAGGGTTCAATTTAGAAGCTGTTTTGCTCTGATATATTTTAAACTCCAGCCAGCAAATCATCTTCCCTCCTCTTTTAATCTTCCAGATCAGCTGCCACAGCTCATTCCCCTTCCGCGTTAGTAATGCTCGCGTCTCCTCCTGCCATCAGTGCCAGAGGAAGGGACCCCCTGCTTCACAGAGTACCCCCTGTGAGCGCTTGTGGCTGCGGGTAAAGGGTGTTTGACCTTCTCACAGCTAACCGTGCCAGCCACACTCGTACGGGCCACCTCTTACAGGCTTCATGGACACAGCCGCACCATTAACTCCGTCTCCTGTCCTTCCCGTAGCTGCAATGAGCAGGTTTTTTGCCAGGTTTGTCCACGTTGTTGATGGAATGGCTCTTCTCACCCAGTGCTGTTGTCCTGGAGGTGCTCCAGCCTCTCCTTCCCCATCCCGCTTGGCGCTCAGGCACCGTTTCCCAGCCCTGCCCGAGCTCTGGTGGATCTCGCGGGGGTCTCGGGGAAGCCGCCTCTCTCCTCACTCCTGTGTATGTTTGATTTCCATGCAATCCCAGGAAAAACTTCTCTTTGAAACTATCCGTGCTGAAGCCCAGGTTGGAAAACTGTGTTCTCTCCTGTATTAACGTTCTGTGGTTTGTATATCTCGTGATTCACTGCATGCTCCTCCTTTTCTGCACCTCGGATGGAAAGTCCTGCAGTTTCCATTTATTTTTCTTTCTTTTCTTCCCCCCTTCACCTTTTTTTTTTTTTCTTTTTTTTTTCTTTAACTAAAAGCCAGAGAGAAGGGAAGAAGCAACCTGGTCTTGACACTTGATTTCCCCACACTGGTATCTTCCGATGTGACTAGATATGAAGATGAAGACCAAGGAAATTTGAGGGGACCTGTTTGCCTTTAAAGAGCCAGATATATTTATAGCTTAACAGGTTACTGCAGCACAATAGTCCTGTGCTCTGCATCTGCTCTGAGCCCACGCAAAGTGGTTTGACTTGGCTTTACCCCAGTGAGAGGGTCCAAGCGCAGGTACCAGTCGGGCAGTAACTTGTTACGCTGCATGAATAGACTGGGAATCTCAATCTTGAGCTGGGCAAAAAGGAATTATAGGTGCACTTCTGTCGTTTTCCACCAAGCTGGTTTTGGATGGGGTAGAATCTGGCGTGGGTTAGTCACGTTGCTGAGTTGTCACTGTGTGGAGCAGGGCTGTGTTCACCCAGTGCCTGCTCACAAGCCCTTTGCCACGGCACGTGGGTGCACGGGGTATCCCAGCCCATCCTGCCTGGCTTTGGGCACGTCATTAACATCCTGCACCCAGGGAGCAGCTTGTGGAGGGGGCTGCTGGAAACCCAAAGGACAGGCTGCCAAAGGCTCGTGATGGAGAGGTGGTAAATGTCTCCACAGTGCGACCGGGGCGCAGGCAGGATGTTAGTCTGGGCTGTGCTGGGGGGCAGTGGTGTTTGTCCCGTCCTCGGGGCCGATCCAGCTCTGCACCCTCCTGCAGCCCTCCACTGCGTCTCGTTAACCCGCTGCCATGTCTGCACCGAGCCAAACACATGTTTTCTGGGTTACTCAAGTCCTAATGACTGTTTATGTTGCTGTGTGTGTCAGTACCTGGGGTGGGGGGGCAGGTGCTGCACTGCTCCCTGCCCTCAGCAGTGCCCTGCAATCTGCAGAGGCACTAATTACCCTCTGCTAACGATGACCGTGCAGATATAAAATACCCACAAGAAAGAAGGTGGCTGCTTCAGCACTGGGTCCTTGTCCATCTCCCAGCCCCGGTGAGGCTGATTTTCCCAGTGTCCCCCTGCCCAGTTCCCTGCAGCCTTCACGTGTTTCTTGCACCCTGCAACAGCGTGCTCGGCTCACGGCTTGCACCTCTCCCACAGCCACCCACCTTAAAAACTTTTTGTTTTGACCTATAAACACCATTGTGAGGCAAAGATCCCCCCCCCGCCATGTGATGGGGATTAATTTGTCTGGGGATGGAGGAGATGTGAAATGCTTGAGCAGAATTAATAGCCATGGGGCACTTGTGGGAGATGAAACGAGAGAGTTTGGGTCAATCTTCTCAGTCTCTTAACTCAGTTCCCAGCGGCCGTCCCTCTGCTCCCTGACACACATCCTGTGCCCTTTGGAAAGCAGCAGAGGAGAAATGAGCTCACGAGAGATGTCACCTCTAGAAATGCCGAGATTCTTCCACCTGGCATTTAGAGCAGCTTAATTTCTGTCACTCAACAACACCCAAGCGGCCCCAGGACCCCTTTTTTTCCGAATGCTCTTCATTTTAAGACTCCGTCTTTACTTTACTTATTTAAGACTTCATCTTACTTAAGACTTATTTAAGATTCCATCATTACTTTTACTTATTTAAGTCTTATTTAAGACTCCATCCCCGCTTTAGTTATTTAAAATGCAGCTGTAATCACTGACTGACTCCAGACTGAGCGCCTGGCTTTGGAGTCATGCAGTATCTTCTGATGGTTGAGGAGCGAGGAGGTTTCATCGTGGTGCCTTTTGGGTTTATTTTATTAGCTGCAAGTGACAGAGCTGAAGAAGGAATTACTCTCCGAGCTGATTTTAGCCTGTAACTGCCAGAGTTTCTTGAAACCCAGTTCTACTGAGCCTGTGGTTTGATGGTGGATGAAAGTGCATCGGAAGATACTAGCCCTGGACCCATGCAGAGTCATCTCTTCTGCTCCATTCTTTGTTTTGGGCACACGCACATACATGAGGTTGTTGGCTGCAGGAGCTGGGGTGTGTTACCAAGGCGGGACAAGAAGCCTTGCTGCTGCTGCTGCTGGTCCCTCCTGGTCACGGCATGCGGTCCTGTGGGTCAGAGCCCCATAAGTGATGCTTTGCCTGCAGTGAAGGGCCCAGGGAGCTGCTTTGCAGCTCTTCTCGCTGCTCCCTTTTAGAAACCTTGTCGAGGCTGCGCTGGAGGCTGGAGCACAGGGGGATGCTGTGGTTGTACTGGAAGTGGGGAGAGCCAGGAGTCAGCCCGAGCAGCAGGGCTGTGCCTCAGGAGGCATCTCAGGGGCTTCTCCAAGCAAAGAGAGTTCAGTAAATGCCTGCCACTCCCTCGGGATGGGCTTCCTCTGCAAACAGCATACTGCTATTTTCTTTTTTAATTTTGATCTGCATGTGACAAGGCTGGCATGTCTCCATTTAATAAGCTAATACTGCATTATGGTTTATCCCTAGGTTGGAAATGATATTGCCTTCCCTTATTAACTTCCCTTGCTTGACCAGTATGTCTCCCCTCTCAACCCACCACCCTCTAACTCAGCAGTAAAAATCATTCCTTGCTTGAGAAAATCAGCATTTCCCCAGCGTGTTGACTAACTCTTGCTCTCCTTGCTGCACCAACAACTGCACATACGGTGCACGGGGTGGCTGCCCCTGCTGCCTGCAAGGCTGGTTTCCCTCGGGGAGATCTTTGCCTTCAGTGCAGATAGTGGCACGGAGAAGTTTTCGACCCATTAATACCCTGACTTTGGCAAGCTCAAGGAAAACCCTCCCTCTGTTACCCAAGACTTCTGGGAGCCGCTCTGTGCTTCTCCACCTTGCAGTTCTGAAGCCAGACTTGACTTTGGTGGGACTGGTGACCTCCTCCCTGCAAGCACGTGACTATGGCCGCGTTGACCAGTGTGTGTGCATGGAGCCTTGTAGCCAGGGAGGTGGGCAGTGAGCTGGCTGGTGGGCACCAGAGGAGCTTTCAAAGCCTCTTCCCCGCCTGGCAGGATGGTTTGGGGTCGCTGCCTTGGCCACAGGCTGCTGCTGGATTGTGGTCGCTGTCCCCGGGGCAGCTGCTGAGGAGGAGCAAGGTCGGGATCAGCAGCTCTCCAAGAGCCGGAGGGTGCCCAGGAGCAGCCAGGGCCGCTTGCACCAAGGCTTTGCACACCAGCGTGACCCCAGGGAAGGGTAATGGTGACTCCTGCACCTGAGAGGTGACAGGAGATGGAGGGGCAGGGGGGCACCCACATGGCATTTGCTTGGGCTTCCAGCAGCCCCTTTCCACCCGGCTCTTTGAGGCATGCGTGGGAGCGCCTGGCCATCTCGAGCACCCACTGACACTTTCCTTCACCCTCTCTCTGTCCTCACAGCTCGCTGCCGGAAGAGAAAAGCAAAACAAGCTCATCCTTCGAGACCAGTCCAAAGCCGAGTGAGAAGCCGGATGCGGAGCAAGCTGAGCTGGACCCGGAGCAGAAGCGGAGCCGTGCCCGGGAGCGCCGGCGAGAAGGACGGTCCAAGACATTTGACTGGGCTGAATTTCGCCCCATCCAGCAAGCCCTGGCTCAGGAGCGTGCAAACGCTGCAGACTCCTCCAAGGGCAGCTCTGCTGCCTTCCCCAGGGACACCGGTGCCACCGACACCGACCCGGGAGAGCTGGAACGGGAGCGGGCTCGGCGGCGGGAGGAGCGGCGCAAGCGCTTCGAGATGATCGATACCGTGGACGGGGCAGGGTCAGAAGAGGCACTGAGGATGGAGGTGGACCGGATCCTGCCCGTCCCGGCGGACATCAAACCACAGAATGTCCATGTGGAGATTGAGCAGCGCTGGCACCAGGTGGAGACCACCCCGCTGCGGGAGGAGAAGCAGATCCCCATCACGCCCCTGCACCTCGCCCACGCTGAGGACCGGGACGAGGGGCTCGCGAAGCAGCACTTGACCACACTGCTGGAGAAAGAGGTAAAACAGAGTGCGTGGGGCACAGGCTGTGGGCCAGAATGTCCTTCAGGCCACTGCAGGAACTGTAGGAAGCCTGAACAAGGCTTAAAAAAGCTGCATTTATTCCTGCTTTGTAATAGCAATGAGTGGGGATGCTGTAGGGTCCCCTGGGGAGCTGGCAGGGCACAGATCTCCATCCGTTCCTGTTCAGCTCTGCCAGCAGCTTTCATGTTCCCACGGCTGCAGAACGGGCTGGTTTTGGAAGGATGGTTCTTCATTACCCTCTCCCAGCCCACACAGCCTACACTTGTGTTGGTTGGTAGCCAGCCTGCCTCTGATGAGATGGGTGCGATTGATGTGTATCAACCAGATGTTAAATTCCAGCTCATAATTCCGTGGGTCTCTGCAGCTGTAGAGATTTGTGTCTAAGAAACTATAAACTGGCTTGAGTTGTAGCACACACCACAAAGGTTCCCTTTTTGTGA